GATGTCATATGGTTTTTATTTGTAAATACAAATAACTTTAAATATTATAGGTTTCTAGACCCAAGAAGAAAAGAAAGAGTGAAAGGATGAAGTTGTGAGTCAAAGGAGTCAAATATCAAGCCAAATGTCATAAATTTTAATGAGATACATTATCATGACATGTAGTAAGTACCGCAACAAGTGTTGTAACTCTAGGACCTGTAAGGGGCAAGGTGGGTCAAATGATCAAGCAATGAGATCTAATCCAGATTAGGAGGTAGATCTTCTTTTTAAGCTTGTAGATATGAAGATGGTATTTTTTTGTTATAGTAATGTTGTCTACATAGTGTTTAATTTTTATCTTTTGGATTTTAGGTTATTACAGGTTGTATGAAGAGGAAAGTGTTTAAATTGATGGTTTTATGAGTTTATGATTGTATGTATGATTTCATGGATATATTTCCTTTCTTTGTTAGTACCAATCTATGAAGGTTGTAGTAGATTAATGCGTTTTTATTTAGTTAGAAATTCTTTGATGTTGCATGTTATATGTTATTTTACTTTTGAGATGCTAAACATGTGTTTATGTGACAACCCGAAATTTCTATCTTGTACATCCATTCAATTCAATCAATATCAGACTCGTTTCTGCTATCTTTTATCACTGTTTAGGGTCTGTTTGAGTGTTATAAGCCTAGTACCTTCAACAAGGAATGCTAGTAAGTGTATTCTAGAGTGCAGTGTGCAACATTCAAGTCGGAAACCCCATTCATAAGGAGTTTACGACCGTAAACTAGAGTTTACGGCCGTAAACACCTCCTTGGCCGTAAACTCATATCCATATATGAGTTATGCCTTCAATTCTAGTCACTTCTTACACCTCTAACTCAAGAACTCGGAAGTGCTCTCAACTATCATCAAGCTTTCACCTTGATCTTCCAAAATGTAAGCAATCTTTCCATTTTATTATTGGTTATCCTTCTTGATCTAGTATCAACCTTTGATTTCATCCATGAAATTCATCTTTTGGGTTAGATCTTCAAGAACACCAAGAACACACACTAGTTCTTGGACCGTAAACACCCCCTTCAAGCTTTAAAACGTAACTATTCTTCCATATACTAGTTATTTTATAGAAGCTCTTCACTTACACCCTTGAAAACAACCTTTTCCCAAGAACAATGAGAGTTTATGGCCATGAGCATCTCCCTTGATCGTAAACCCTTATTAAGGTTCCTATGTTGGCCATAAGCTCTTCTTAAGGCTAGAAATCGGTCAAGACACACTTCCTTGATGCTAAATAGGACCATAAAACACTCTTTGGCATATGTATTCATGAGTTTACGACCGTAAACTCATAGGGTCGTAAACCCCATGGTCGTAAACACCTTGGGCCGTGAACATCATGGCCGTGAACACCAAGTGTGGCCGTAAACTCCCTTTAAGTGCAATCACATGTGATTGTAACACTTCCATTCAAGTGTTTCCTAGTCCCTAAGGTGTTTCCTTGCATGATTAGTTATATAAACACTAATTATATACATATATGTATCATTATATGCCTTATAGGATTCGTTTGTGCCTGAGATTTCACTTAGCACTTAGCATCCTACAACCAATCTTTTATTCGTTTCACTCACTACAGGTGAGTTCATACCCCTTAACTTATCTTTCAAATGATTTTAAATGCTTTTATGGGGGGAATACAAGTAGAACTATTATAGTTATTATATCAATCACATGTGATTAATAACTATCAAACGAGTGGATTTTTTATACTTCAAACTGTTTTATCAAACAAGCTCTTCAAAACATTTTATAAACTGACATCAAGTCAATTGTTTCCATTCAAATGGTTAAAACTCTTTTATATGTTAAACTTTCTATTAAACTCTTTTAAACTTATATATTGTCAAAATCATTTCTATATGTATATAGTTATATAAGTAAGGTTGAAAGGACTTAGGACTGATAACTCACTTTATTTCTTGTTCCTTGTTTGGTTGTGGACTTAGGGTATCCGGTTGTTTGTCCGATGTGTCGTTTGAATCTTAGTTATATATTATGTATATGTGCATAGATATAAAAGTTCCTACATCAGTTCAGCACCTTTGGGTAGCAAAGGTGTACAAACACACTCAGTCGCTCAAACAACATTACTAGTAAACTATAATAGGGTATAGTTTAGAGGATCACTACTCGCTATTTCTAGTACAATGAAACATACAAGAGTCAGTTCAATCATGAGTCAATACAAACATACTATTATGAGAAACAGAAAGAACATACTATGATGAGAAACAAAGAGAACATACTATGACGAGAAACAAATAGAACATACACTACACTATACAAGAGAACATACAATACACTAGAACAAAGAGAACATACATCACACTAGTACATACTGTACAAACACTAGAACACTATAACATTAATGTGAGCCACTACTTCATGGCATGGCAATCTACTGCTGTGTCACGTTTTGTAACCAGAGTCTCCTGGAGGAAGAGCGTTAACTGGTGTATAGATCTATACGGGATTGACTATCCTACACCTTGCTGCTAGCTACAATGGGACCTGCAGGTCTACGGGTGACTAATGCCATACCATTTCGATGCCCTAGAGCGTCGTGTTTTAACTAGTCGATCAAGCATGGTTACAACTATATCACATTTTACCTTAATTAAAACAATTGTTTTAAGGTAGTTAGTACAACGGTAGTAGTTATATACAAATACTACAAGTACATCATTATTATTTTCCCATTAGATTCAAATTGTGATCTTCTCACATAAACGTTAATGTAAACTATATTTTTGGTAATGATAGTCTGTCTTTGGGAAAATTACACACTTTTACAAACAAACAACATACAGAACATTCGGGCCTTCGTAGAAGGCTACTTTTTTGTAGAAAATATAGGATTTTCTAGAGATACAAACACTTACAAACATTTACTACAAACACTTACAAACGTTTACATCAAACATTTACAAACACTTTCATACAAGCAATGACACTAAAATACTTATGAACTCACCAGCTTTAATGTTGATCTATGCTTTCAAAATAACTTATATTCTCAGGTCACCAGTAGACAGGTACCGATGACCAGATTTTGAGAAGACGGAGCTCTCAAGACTCGTCTATATTTTGATTATTCATTTTTGGTGTCTTATAAACTATAGAACACACTTGTATTAGAATTATATTATTAATGCAATGGATGATGTTGTTGCTTGTTTACTATTATGCATTGTTGTGATACTATACATGACGTCCTCTGCCCCAGAACGTTTTCCGTCGTTCCTGTTTTGGGGTGTGACAGTTTATAATTTTAACTTTGTAAGTAATGTCTTACCACTTTCCTTTACCAAAAAGATCATTAACTCTATGTTTTAAACTTATGCTTTAGTAACTGTTTAAATTGACCATTGTCACTATAATGATTGTCTCATTGAGTATTAGAGAATCTATCTATAAAGTTGTAAATTTTACATTATTTATTGAACTATATTACATTCTATAGAATTTAGTGAACATAATTGTCATTTTACCCGGTAATCTTACATGAGTAAATCCATAATATGTTTTTGTTTAATTAAATTTGTTTACTTTAACATAGTATAATAACTTAATGTGTATTGCATTACATTAATACTATGTTTTTCATTTACAAAAACAATGATTAAAGACAAAAAAAAACAAAAAAACAAAAAAACAAAAACAACCTAGATTACAACATCAACATTTCAACATATATAAACCTCAAAAGACCACTAGAAATAGCCTAAACCACATAGCACATAAATAAAGAAGATAACTCCGCTACAATTCAATGTGAATTTGCATCGATTTGTAAACATCAACTATGCTTTAAGATTGTTCTTAGCTATCAGCAACCCATGAATAACGACAATAGCCCTAGGGAAATCGGGGGATCCACCCTCCTAATAATGTTGCATGTCGATCCAAACCTTTGGCAACTCCAGAATCGTCTGTTTTGTTTAGCAACCTAATGTGTATAAATATCAATGTTAAAAGAATATGTAGAGAGACATATATGTCCTCGTGTGAAGGGAACAAGAGGGTTTTCTGACGGGGCCGAGGTATATGTCTTAGAGACAGAGACCATATGTGATTGATTTTGAAACCATAGATATGCTTCACATCAATTTTCTAAAATTTTGATTATACCTGAACGGGTATACCGTAAAAATAATTGGTGTAATTAACACTAATAATAATAAAAAATGCATAACGGATCGGGTCCAAAATTGAAAATGTTAGTTGTTAAACTTGACAACCCAGAGAAAAAAGAAGTTTTTTCAAAAGCTTTTGAGGTCCAATTAATCTTTGAAAAAACATAGGCTCTTATTGTTAGAGATTTTTCATTGTAGTATTATTATAAAGGAAGCTATCATGAAGAGGTAACGTTTTTAGAAACAAAAAAGTTAATGGGTCTCATAAGTAGTAATCAAGAAAATTATAATAAAAAAGAATAATATAAGTTCAATATCGTGGGCTCCATAAATAAACTCATCAAAAAGCCCTTCTATTGTGATTAGCAATGGTTTGAACTTTTTGTAATGTTGAAATGTATTAATTTCTCATGAATAAGGTCAACTTCTATTGTAAAATTTAGAGATAAAAAGTAATAATATTCTTATAATAAAAAATCCTTTCGACAAGATTTATAAACGCAAATAAGTTACCCTCTTATATGTAGTGGTTTATCTATGCCAAGTTTGAATTTGTGCTCCTACGACATATTTAACTCTTTTCAGGGTTAGCTTTTTAGAAGTTAAACCTTTTTGACCACTTCAATGCATAATAAACATTCAACATGAGCCAGCATTCCTTATCAAATTAAAAATTGCAAAGCACTTTTAACATGCGTTTGATGACATTATCGTTGTTGACATTATCATTGTTTTTTCTTCCACATAGCTTTTGTCGGTAGGGTGAAGACATATACTACTTTCTTTTATGTTCGAATGCATTCACTATAAAAAAACTTACAATGCTGCATACTTTATTCCATATATTTCTCTATAGCTGCCAAAGTCTGTCGAAGTCAAGTTTCCTTCTCTCAGTCATGAGGTTCAATATGGTTTTACTGGGTCTCATGGTGATGAGTTGTTCTCTTGCTTTGGCCTCAGACCCTAGTCCTCTCCAGGACTTTTGTGTGGCTGAACCAAACACCCCAGGTAAAAGTTATATATCTCTAAATGTTGAGAAATGCTCCATATATTGTCGTCAAGATTTAAAAATATGTAGTATTTAACTATTTATACAAACTTATAAATTTTCCTTTTTTGTTTCTGCAGTACTGGTGAATGGTTTGGCATGCAAAGATGCTAAGCTTGTACAAGCAGATGATTTCTTGTTTAGAGGAATCCATCTCATGGGAAATACATCGACTGATGTTGGGTCTAAAGTGACTCCGGTGTCTGTAGCAGAGTTACCAGGACTTAACACTTTGGGTATTTTCCTTGGCTCGTATTGACTTTGCTCCATGGGGTATCAACCCTCCCCACACACATCCTCGGGCTACGGAAATCTTGACTGTGCTTGAAGGCAACATTCAAGTAGGGTTTGTCACATCTAACCCAGAAAACCGTCTCATCACAAAAGTAATTGGAAAAGGCGATATTTTTGTTTTCCCAATTGGTCTAATTCACTTCCAAAGAAACGTAGGAAATGGCTACGCGGTTGCTCTTGCAAGTTTGAGTAGCCAAAACCCAGGTGTGATAACCATTGGAAATGCCGTGTTCGGATCAAACCCTGATGTCGATGGAGATCTTCTTGCAAAGGCTTTTCACGTGGACAAGAATGTCATATTTCAGATACAATCAAAATTCTAGACTTTTTCATTATCTTTAAACAATTATTCTATTAACTTAAATTAAGATTTTTTATATTGATTTGATTCGTTTTGTAACGTTTAGAATGTGATAAACCTTCTTTTTATTGTTTTAGTCGTTATTTGCATTTTTCATGTTTAAAAAATTAGTAGGTACCACCTAAACTCAAAATCCATAAGCATTCATGATTAATTCATTACAAATTTTTTGGAGGAAACGTTTTAAACGTTTTATCATATTATAATTAATTACAATCATTGGCTTAAAACTGAGATTTGCATGGATAATCTTCACAGTATTGTGCTAAATTTCAAATTATTAAGACAAACTCAACTAAAAATTCGACAAAATCACAATATTTAATAACAGAGTTTTGTACGATTGGATAGTGTTGTACAAAAATATTTACCAATCTCCTCTATTTTTAAAAAGAGACATGACATAAAAGTCTTTAAATTGGACAAGTTTTGTCAATTTTATATGTGGTGATTTTTTGTTCGTTAATCCCCAAAGTTAGGGTAACAACATAAAAGATATGTAACAAGAAAAAACACTTTTCAAATTTTAGACATTAATGAACAAAAAATCGTCTCACGGTCAAAATTTACCAAACTTAAGGGCTTTTATGTCAAAAGTTGTAGGATCGATAAATTAGTTCCATGTCCGACAAATCAAGAATATCATGTAAACGTTAATGAAATGTATGATCGAGAAGCTAAATAAATTTTTGTTTGTTTCATTGAGAGTAAGAAGCTCGATTACATCAGACTATGTAAGAACATGTCAAAAGACTTACCCTCCTATCTAACAAACATCCCTATTTAGACGAGAACTATAAGGGAGTCGGCGAGATGATAACCAATAAGGTTATGACATCTAAATAGTAACACGTGCTACAAATTGTTAAGCTTTGTCACTTCGAAATCTTAGGCGAACTAATTTTGAAACTAACAATCATTCAGAATCCACGTTACATTAAAGACAAAATATTACAATTAAACCTTTCACAAAAGACTAAGACACAACATATTACAACATTATAAGACCTAATGATCTCCCCTTTGTACCGACAGTAGTCTTCAAGCTTTTTAAGAAAAAAAATGAGCAAAGCTAATAAAAAAATTTCGAACAGTAATGCACCATTTCAACACTTTGAATACACTCTGTATTTCTTCCATCGAATTGTTATTGCATAATTTGATCTTCGTAAAGTTTCCATTCAAAGTTTTAGTTTAGTAACAATGCTTGTCTTGCATATAAAAGAGTCGATTCTTGTACTTATTGTCCATAATGGTTTTATATGCAACTCCAAATCACTCCTTCTAAATCAGTCCATCCTTTTTGTTTTGAATATTATTAGGTTGATCACAAGGACCGATACAAGGTTTTATGTTAAAGAATCCCGCCAGATAAACATGTGTCTTACTAATTTCAAGAAAATCGAAATTTATCATTTTCTTTTGATGGGCAATCTTATTCACATACTTCGCTTTATCCCTACCAAGAGCAACTGACAACATAAACCAATCATGAGGATTCACATACTTCACACATGTAGCCTTTGAATTGACAATCAACAATAGTAGAAATTTTCTTTAGACTCTAGATTTCCTGTTGTTGACTTGATTGAGAGGAATAAACTCAAAAAGCTTTATGATTAGAACACCATTTAACAAAGAAACTCCATGTGTGTTCAAAAAACATATTCACAAAAATAGTCTCATAGTAAGTGGAAAATCAAGTGGACAACCCTCAACATTTCCGATTGCAAAAAAGGTCATCAGATTTAACCAGTGTTGCTCAACATTATCGATTACCAAATATTTCATTCTTTTCACTGTCCATCTTGGCAATAAAGCTTCCAGAAAGCGTCTAACAGCTTCTATATCTTTTCCTTTGATGCTTTTCTTCTTTTCTCAATATCCCAGTGTTGTAATTTCTCCAACTCTTCATCAGAGTTAGTTTGATCAACAACTTTAACTTTTGTTGAATCTAAAACAAAAGTTGTGCTAGATCTAGAATTTTAAAGAGGAATAACATTCTTCAGTTTCATGACAAGAGGTTAAAAATCAACAACAACCTTGTTTTCAATAGTAGGTTTCGAAACCATCGGAGGAACAACATATGAATTAACAATCTAATTAACATTCTTAGTTATATTGGTACCTTCTCCCCTTTGTTTCGAACTAGCCTGACTAGTCGGAACACAACCAAAGATGGCAAGATGATTGAACATCGATTGAAGATTATCTTCTAGCAAGTTCGACATGTAATCAATATAAGGCACATCCTTGAATTCAACAATATTTGTTAGCCGTTGGCTAATTTCAAAATTTCGAGCTTTCACCAAGCAAAGCTCATCATCTTTCTTCGCAAGATCTTCCAGAAAACCTCATCATCTTATACTTGGATAGATCGATGAATAGTAGATTTCGACTTTTGGACTAATTTTTCATCACCATCTTCATTTTATCATCGATTCTTCAATAAACAGGGTATCGATCTAAAGAAGAATTTTTCAGAATCCATTTGAGAATTTGTGAAACCTCATTGAAAATCCTTTTCCATTAGCAATGCATGAATCGAACATGGAAGATCTAGGTTCTTTGGTTGGAATTAGAAAATTTCCAAATTGCACATCGTACCATCCATGATGCACCTTGTACCATACATGGAACTTCTTCTCATTTCTCCAAGATCTAACTTTATCATCATGTTGAATTTGAGAACATTCAACAATTTGGGGTTTGGAATTCAATTCTATAACAGAATTTGATGATTTTTGCTTTGGAACCCAAATTTTCTTCATAAATTTTAGTATCAAAACAACATTTGAAGAATTTTGCTTTGAAACCCAAATTTTATTGTTTTTGATCTTCTTTTTCTTCTTCTTAATCTTTTTGGATCTTGAAGATTTAAATCTAAAAACAACATCATTCTTTACAACTTCAACTTTGCATCTTTGAATCAAATCTTTTGGAGTTTGATACATTTGAACATCTTGGATTAAAAGCTTTCTATGTGGCACCATTCCTTCAAATGAATCACAAGAATACAAATAATCATCGGTTTGAACCCCAATTGAACAAAAAACTTTCACAGCTTCAAGAGAATCACATTGAATTCCCTTGTCTTGAACATCATGAACATCATGAACATGATGAACTTCTTCGAGAAAATCTTTTTGATCTTTAAGAACATCCGAGTAAATTGCAAGCTCATTAAAACTGATGGGGTTTAAGCATTACAACATTCATATGGTGCACATGCAACCCTAATTGCTTTGGATCTATGTTTTTCTCAAGTTATACATGCAAATCAATTATCCAAAGCAAGAACCCTAATCTGGCATACAATTTTCGAATTTAATAAACAAACTAGGGTTAGAAGAATACTTTTTCTTGTTGATAGCTTGATCTTAACCTTCAAGAGCTTAGTGCCTCAATTGGTGCATCTCTAATGGAGTCACAAACACCACTTAGCAAAAGATGAACAAGAGAGAGAGAGAGAGAGAGGATGGAGGCTATCAATTTCGTCTACGGTTCTTCTATAAAGCATAGGGCCGAAATCAATAGCCAAGGGGTCCTTATATAGTTGAGCTGCTACTAGGGTTTTCAACTGGAAACCCTAATTCCCTTGCTTAGGCCCTAAGCAATCCACAGACCCCCACATGAAAGGCCTTGGACGAAATCTTTATGGACTCCCATAGAGTTTTTGTCCACCCCTTATCAATAGGGTGCATTAGCCGAAACTACAATTATTACTGATTTACATAATCAGTCCCTGTTCTTTTAATCTGTCTCTTTTGATCACTAAATTAATTCCAAATTAATTTCTGATCAATACTAATCAAATAATATGATTTCTCAATTAATATATTATTCTTATAATATATTAATAAATCATATATCAACCTCTTTCTCATAATTCATCCTGTCAAGTTGCTATGGTGAAGGTAACCCAAAATGACCATGCTACTATCGGGTCAAGTACATATCAATTATAGTTATGGGCTTAGACACCTAATCCAACAGTCTCCCACATGGATAAGTCTAATAACTATAATTGCAAGTACGACTTCAAAATCTGATTAGCAATCGTAGCTCTTAAAAGCCGTTGTCGAACTCTGACCTAGTCAATGACGCGTCCTTTAGATAAGGGATCATATAATCCTCCGTTCTGCAAGATATCGTGTGGACAAAGACATGGAACATAATCATTCTCAATGTCCAACAGTTTGTTTCCCGACTTCTGATTTCTTTTACATAGAACTTAATTGAACACATCAATTCAGTCCTGACCGGGCCCGGCATATAAGTCAACACAAAATCATCGAGGGGCCCAAGATATCGATTTTACCCTCTTTGGATAAAAGGAACACATAAACTTTGACTTATATGCTTGTACTATTTACTCGTTAAATCATACACAACAACAAGTTTTATAACATCAAGTTACTGATGCGTTTACGCATTATCAATGCATAACCAACTTGTAAACAACAACTCATATATCTCGGTTTAAAGATTATACGATATTATCATCTCACAATCACTCGTGATAAATTCCATGAAGTGATTCACATGAGCATGGGTTTACTCCAATACTTAAATCTTATTTCAGAAGTACTCATGAACGTTGCAGCAAACCTTTGCTATGTCTAAGCACTTAGACAATCTACAACCAATTCATGACAGTCTATCCTCATAACTTAATCCCAAAGTATGATCGACTGTGGATAATTTGAACAATCTAATTATTCTGGAAGTAAAACATGCAAAATTGAAACAATAGTAAACAATCGACACAAGATAGTAAACTTTACTCATAAATAAATCTCCATTACTTAATCATCAAATGTCAATTACATTTATCTAATACAAGTTTATAAACATCTATCTAATCACTAAAACTAATATTGTCCTTCAGACCAATGATCCTCGCATGTTGTAAGTGCTTAACCCTGCTCAGACCCGTTGTGAGGGGATCTACTGGGTTCT